CAAACAATCTGTATTCCACAATCTTAGTAAAGCTGTTTCCATTGCGAACACAAGGCAACAAGATTTGCGGTTAGAAAACCAATAAATGATCTTCATAATTATAATTACATTTTCTGGAAGCTAAAATTAGAACTAGAATAGTAGGAAGACACAGTTTGTTACCATTTTATAATACTTATTAATATAGACTTAAGAACGCAAGAAAAGGAGGGAGAAAAGAAACCAATTATAAAATAAGATCAACCAACACTAAGAAAAAAAAAGTCTCACGTCGTGTAACTTTTACTTAAACGAAATCAATTTCTTTGTGATATTGTTGTTGTTTTTACCATACAATCAAACAGCGCATTACCTACATTTATGAACGTAAATTTCTTGAAAGGGAAAAAATATAAAAATAGTTTTAATCAATAGTTCACTTGCTACCATAGCAAACGACAGAATGTTAGGTGTGTGGGTTGTACCTAGATAGTGGAGTCACTATATCATACGCTTTAGCCCAGACATTGGTAAAATTTAATAACTCTTATGAAAACACACTTTAGTTTATATAACTATCTGCATCCGGTTTTCTAGGTACAGAAACATTCAGTTTTCCATGTAATACAAATAAATTATTACTAAAAGTGGAAAGTAAGAAAAGGCATTCGCCATATTTGTTTTTTCACTGTCATATAGCGCTTTGCTTAAGCGAAGTGCTGATGGAATTATTCTTAACTGTAAAAATAGTTTCGTGGTAATATTTAAACAATTTACATCCGTATATATACATAATCTATTGCAAAAAAAGAAACAACGTTTAAAGACAAGCGTTTTTTTTCATTTTTTAGCTTTAATTCAATTTAAATATATTCTGCCATGTAGTCTGACGTTCGAGTTACAACTGGTTTATCCATTTAAAGCAATCTGATAAAAGGACCGTATTTCAAATTATTAATGCGATCTTCAATGTCGGCTGAAATATTGAAATATGACTTTTATGATATTGAATCGTTTGCGATTTTGAAAAAAAAAATACTTTATAGTGTAGCAAAGATGCAGGAAGTAAAATATAGATTTCCATCATAAAACACGGTATTAATTAATTAGGGTTATAGAAAAATGACCATGTGGTTCATGAAATACATTATTAACTTAGAAATGTAAACGTATCAAAACAGTATATTATGCAGCTTTCTAGCCCTAATAATGTAAATTTAGTATTGTTTGGTTAAAGTTTTTCATTTTGGCGGTATGGTCTATATTTGAATCCTCTTACACTAACATATAATTAAGCCTGGTATGGTTTGGTGGTTAAGGCGCTCGACTCGCAAATTGCAGGTTGCGGGTTCGAATTCTAGTCACCGAACATGTTCTGATTGCTGTCAGGGCCAGCCACCCGAGTGTAAAACTTAGTGGCTAATACAAAATATCCGAGCGCTCGACCTCAAAACTAGATGGGATTAAGGTAGAAGAAGAAGAAAAAACATTACCTTATAAATAATGCAAATATGTCTGTTGCTGATTCGACCTTCGAACTTTTCTCACGAAGCAGAACTAGTTATTAGTTGCTCAAACCAGACTTCTGACCAAATTTTGGTCTGAAAGTCCCCACCAGATTTTAAAAACTTGAGATTTTGGTAAAAACACGAACTCTTTCGGCTGCTAGGTGTTAAAATGGTGCTGTTTAGTAATTACTTGTTATTGATTAATAGGTTTACGAAATTAATCAGTGCTACTCAGCTGCTCAAAATATTAGTAAAATTGGTTATTAAAGTATTTTGTTCTAAAAGAAAAACGTAAAGCAAATTTAATTGTATTGCTTTTAAGCTCATACTTCTCTTACTGTTCATCTAACTTTGTTATATTTGAATGTTAATAAACATCTTTCCTTAAAGAAGAACATAAACTCTAGAACTACCGTTGTCCCGCACACGGTAAGTCTACGGACTTACAACGCTACAATCAGGGGTTCGATTCCCTTTGGTGGACACAGCAGATGTGGCTTTGCTATAAGACAACTACACCTAACGTGTGCGGAGGTGTACATTATCTCACAAAAAATTTGAAAGCTTATGATATGAAGAAATAAGCTGTTTGGAACAAATAAGAATATAAGAACTGTAAAACATGGCTTATAACCGCTAATGTTAATTAAAATACACAATAAATTTTGATAAATATATTTCGTTAAGTAATATCTGTCAGAATAAAGGATTGTACTATGATACAAATTTAATTAGTAGGTTAGTGTTAGAACTTCGAGTTATACAGTGCGAATGGATGAACTCTATGTAATTCTAACAATACAAACACTTGTAAATATTAAGACTGATTTATTAAGCTTCATTAACAAGGGAACGTATTTATCACTTACGTACCTTTAATAAGTAATTTCTGTCCATTAACTTTATAATTTCTTTCCATGAAAGAAAACTCGGTTAAAAATTCCCAAATTATTTCAATAATGCACGTAAGCTAAAATACAGTAATTGATCAATTTAAATGCCAAAACCAGTAATAGCAAAATATTTAGAAGTAGGCGAGTTGCACATACATACATGAATATAAAACTATTGTTTCTTTGTCCTAGTGAAAAACTCTGCTGTCTTTGCCCCGGGGAATCGAATCTCAAACGTTAGCGTTATCATTCAATTCAATTCAATTAAATTCAAAATACACATAATACAAATAATATATAACATAGAAAAGAAAATGATCCACAAGATTTCTCGAGTGTGGATCCTGAATAAATGTATTATCAAACCATAAATAAATCATTAACATTTCCTTTAGAAAATTACTAACATTTTGACCTATTTTTGTTTTTTATATGATGCATAAACCTTAAATAACACGTTCTGGTTCTTCTATATTGGCTATCCATTTCTTTAATGCTAATTTAAAGTTTTTAATTTTATACTTAACAGTGATCGCATTTCTTTTGGAATATTATAATATAATTTTGGTGCTTCATACAAATAACATTTCCTAAATATTTCCTTGTTTACTTTAGGAAGTTTTAAGTTCCCATGTATTTCAGCTCTTGTTTCATATATCGATATTTTTTCCTAATTTTGAATATCTTTATTGAATCTATTTAGTGCTTTACCTATATACTACTAAAACTCAGAGATTGTTTGTTTGCTTGTCTATAATTAAATACATCAAAAACGGCGTAGTAGCGCCGTATTTGTAATGAAATGAGAATAGAAACAGAATAAAACAAGTTTCGTTAAAATCTGACCACGGGTTACCGAGTTAGTCCCGTTTTTCGGGTAACGAATTAAACACAGCAAAAACGGCATAAATAGCGTCATATTAGTAATGAAATGAGAATACAAACAAAATAAAACAAGTTTCGTTAAAATCGGGCCACGGGTTACTGAGTTAGCCCCGTTTTTCGGGTCACTTTTAAGAAATTTCTAGATGAATTTAGGTACACTACATGGCGCCACATATCGGTTTATCTATCTATCTATTCGTTTTCCACCTGAAGAATCACTTTAAAATGTCTTCTATACAGCAATATATGCAAAACAGAAATTAAATAATGAGAGGAAAATGTGTTATAACGGTGTGTAGAAAGAACAACATAAAATGGACCTACAATATTATTGACTATTTGCAAATAGTAACTATGGAAACGAGGTAACAAAATAAAAATCAAGTCGAGAACAACAACAAAATGTTACAAACGAAAACCTCTCAGCGAGCGTTGGCTATTACATTATTTCCCTGTCAATGTCCCCATCTTTAT